GAATTCTTCGACAAAAACGAGAGAATGCACACACACCTTTCGTATCGCTCTCGAATCAGACCGCAGCAATTGGAATCGCCGACGCGAAAAATCAAGAGAAATATAGAGTGGCGAAAATGCGGTGTGGTCTGGTAGTGTTATATGTGATTGATATTCCGTCGCAATAAAATGTTAATAGTTCCGAGAAACGGGCAATAGTTGATGCGGTCCGTATCATATCGATCAATCGTTATTTCAATCAAGTTCTGCGAAAAAAAAACGAATGTGATTTTACAACAAAGGTATTTTTATGCTGACTATAAAAATGGAACGAATGCGTCGAGAATGCGTCATGTATGTGAATAGCTTATAAATATAACCGTGAAATAGCCGCGACGCGGCTATAGAGCGTGTGATTTCGCCGGTTAAGGTGTACAGAGAAATGTCGTACATAGCAAATGGTCTGACCGATGCGGACGGAATTACAACGGGAAATCGATCCCGGAAATACGCGAGTACGTCGCGCGAGTTTGCCACGACTTCCTGGTGTTATTATTAAATTATCGACCAGGTGTACAGTGGTGCGTTGATATCAGGTACAACAGGTGGCATTGTTATTCCACGGCTGAATTATTCACGGTAGCACTCGGTTAGAAAGTTTTCTGAATGTTCACGCTTGTGCGTAAGAGGTGTAGTGACTCATTCGCGAACTGTAAACACTTATTCGGCAGTTTCCCGACTGCTAATTCGACTTAGGCTTAGGCTCAAGCTTTAATTTCAGCCAAGTCGCTATTTTTAGTCAGATAAATTGTTGTGATTAGGACTCTTTTCCGTTCTATCGCTAAGATAACCAGTCCATTTTAGCACCCGAACGAAAAGGCTTACCAGAAGGAACTCTTTGGAAAATTGAATGTTCGCGCCTTATTTATTATCCACGATTTTTAAAATTTGGAAACAACCAATTGAGAATGCCGTGCTAAGAAACGATTGCATGGATGATTATATACAAAAAGAAATAATGGCAGAGCAAAAATTTTATGTTGCAAAAAGATCATGTCAGTTATTATGACGTGGAAAGTAAAATTTTTTTGCTAAGATTTGCTAGGAATACTAATCGCTATTCGCTGGATTATTTTGCTGAATCTACAAATCATTCAGCTGCAAGAATAAATTAGCGAACGTAGAGAAACACTATTTTGTTCTGAGACAAAGGACAAATTTACTCAACAGAATATTTTCTATTCCAGCAACAAAATTATTTCTGCTCCAATTACGAATACAGTTTACTAATTTAGCTATGCCAACAAATTTGATTGCCGTCGCAACCGAATGTGCAGTAGCAACTGTTGGTTTCGCTGCAACAGCAAAATTATTTCTCTCCGTGCACAGATGATGAGAAATACAAAATAATATTCAGGCTTATACGAAGATAATTCGAACAAACCAATTTCTCGATCCATAAGGAACAATTATCGACGATCGAAGAGCGATCAACGAGGAATGCAAGTGATGATTCAAGAGTATAGAAAGTAGTGAAACGTCGTTATTGAGTTTAAAATGTCCTCTCGTCGTTGCTTAAATATTGTCACTTTGATTTTGCGCAGGATAAGGAACGTCAGAAACGTCTGTTTCGTGTCACGCGCGTTCCAGCAGCGCAGGATTGCGTTATCTCGAGTGTCCCATCCATGTTGTATTGCGATAAAAGTCTGAGCCAGAAGTATTCTCGTGACGTACGCGAGATCGTCTCACGGCGCGCGGCGTTTATGCGTCGTTCCGCAACGCCGCAGCATCCCACCGCGCGGAGATACGCATTTCTTTCACGCAACTGGCACGCGAGCAATGCACTTTCACTCAGTGTGGTCAATGTCACGTCAGAAACCAGTTTGCATCATTCCGATTTATCGCGTGCACCGAACAGCCGTCCGTTGAAAGCTAGTTTTTCAAACGCACTCTGTGGAAGGTTTTCAATACGAAGGCTATGGAAAATAACTGAAGAGGGCAACCGATAGTATCTGATAATACTTTCGACCGGTCAGTCACACGGTCGAAAGTCATGTGGAAATCGCCGCAGATGAACCGGCCGTGCGTCTCTGCACCCTCGCGATTCGGAAGGAGAAGGAGAAAAGAGAGAGGGAGGATACACCGTTAATTTGCCTATAAAACCAATTAGATCGTCGCGAAAGAAGGGCATGTGGAGGAACGACTCAAGATCAAGGAGAAATGAATGAGTCGATGGCCGACCGGGCCATATACAGGGTGCGGCGAAAGGTTTGCCCGAGTTTGAAAAATCCGTTGCTCACCAGATGGCGTGAGTAGGTTGTTGGGCAGGGTCTCATTAGGAAGATTGTTCTCAACCGTTTTCAGTTAACATCATGATTTGGACTGGAGAACATCGTGGATTCGCTGTGCGCTCTTTTTTGGAAAATGGCTGTTCAGTCATTGCGACGCAGAGAGCAATGCGCTTGTGATTCCATATTCCGCGCCATGTTTCCGTACCTGATGGAAAAACAATCAAACGTTGGGTTTCTTCATTGGAAGAAACCGGATCCACAGTAAGAACTCATGCAGTTGGAAGACCCAGAACTGCAACAACACCAGAGAACGTGCAGTTAGTGAGGGTATCAGTGGAACGTTCGCCTAGGCGCTCTGCTCGGAGGCATGCAGTTGCACTGGGTTTGTCGGATCGTTCTGTCCGGAGAATTTTGCACGAAGAATTGTTTTTCCACCCGTACAAGATCATGCTTGTGCAAGAACTGAAACACGATGATTTTGTAAACCGTGTCAATCTGAGGGGTGATTTGGGGTGGCCAGCAAGATCGCCCGATTTGAGCATTTGTGACTTTTTCTTGTGGGGGTATCTGAAAGAAAAAGTCTTCAAGCATCGTCCCCATACCCTACAAGAACTGAAAAGGAGAATCATCGAAGAGGTGAACGCCATTCCGATTCAGATGTGCCAAAACGCAGACCGAAGCTTCCAAAATCGGCTACATCAGTGCATTGCTACTGGAGGCCGCCATCTTGCAGATATCGTTTTTAAACGTTAATGTAAAAAAACTGTTTGAAGTACCAAAGGTAATAAAAAAATTTCCAATCCTCTACATTTAATAGTATTTTATTGATTGCTCTCCAAAATGAGGGCATACCTTTCGCCGCACCCTGTATAATCATAAGAATAGTCGTATCGATTCTTCTTATTGCACGTCCCATAAATAAATGCGTGAAATCACGAGTTCGATCGGAAGGAAGATACCGCGATAGCTGCGCGCAAATTAGCAGTATTCGTCGAATACTGCGACAAGAGTCATGTGTATTTGCATTTTTTATCGTGGCTATTCAGTAGCGAGCGATTATACTTGATCTTTTAACATTTCATCCACGCTATTACGTCCATCAGTGCATGACAATTACGTCTTTTGAGCGCGCGAATGATAATTACCGGTAATGAATATCATTTCTTGAAATTTTATCTTAAATATGATAATTGTATAGCAAACGAACCAAGCGAGTATGACTTCTTGCTTTTCCAGTTGTTTTTTTTTTCGAGCAACCGACTAACAAACGATTCAATGTGAAATGTCGCGACAAAAAGTCAATTGCAAAATATTGGCACTGGCATGTTCGAATATTTCGACTGTATTTTCCTGAGAGAGGTTATATTCTCTATTCGGAAAATACACGAAACTCGACAATTTCCTCATTTGCATGGAACAAAGGTTACGCAAAAGCACAAGCGCGTCTAGTTTCACATTTACCGTACTTATTCGAACCATAACTTTGCTAGATGTGAGCAGCGTAATTGATTGAGAGAAAATGCAATTCAATGACGAAACGTTCGTATATTTACGTGATTTACGACGCAATCTGCCGTTTTTCCAAACACATTTTTTATAGAACGCTTTGTCAATTACTACTACAATGTACCATGTTTCATGGACATTTTATCGACATCGTGCAAAACCTGATCATTAATTGTTTTTCTTTATATCATGTGCACAAATATCGAAGACGTTATATTGAAATCTTATAATTCCAACTTACATCAGAAGACTTGATCGACCACTAAGAACCTGAATTATGTCAACATGTCGTACATGCCATATACTCAGGGAAATGTTTTGCATCATTATGTTTTGTATCTGCTAAAAAATTGTTTATGGCACATATAATTTATAGCAGCAGTATTCTAGCAATATGTGCAAAAAAATTTAAATCCTGTTATTGATCTTTGATAAGAAGTATGATCGGCCTTAATCTGAGTGGGATCGACAGAGAGACTTTGATGCTGCTAAATTAGACAAATAGTTCAGATAAACGTTCTATTTCTATCACCTATGTTGATTAGGTGGAACGTTGCAACATAACATTGGAACATATGTAACATGGAAATATTTGCTAGTCATTTATTCATCTTAGTTAATTTTTCATATCCAGATAATTTTCGCTGTGACTGCAGGACTGGATTACATTTTCAATTAAGATTTTTGCACGATCGAGCGATATCCACTGAAAAATCCATTCGGAGTGGCAAACAGCTAAGATTAGAATATAATGTATCTGCGGTCGTATGTTTAATTAATTAGTATCAAAGATAATATCAGCAAAACGAATAACTATCTCGGTTCTTCGAAAATCAACGTTCTATAAAAATTGCACGACGGCATATATTATAAAATAACAGCGATATTATAAGGAAAAATACAACGCGAATGCATGCCGCTTATTAAAAAAAAAGTTATGTAACTTTTATGAAGTAAGCTTTACATTCTAACGCTCACGGATCTCGGCGGAAATGATACAACAAGGTCATTTGATGCCTTTCTCTGCGTATTATTAGTTAATAAGTCACACCGTACAAGCATGTATCTGCCGCGTAGACATGTATCTGTGATAGGCAAGAATCGAGAACGTTAGTGTGCATTTATTTAGTCGCGCACAAAATGAAGGACGAGCACGATGTCCATTGGACAATTGAACGTATGACCGGGGGATTTAATATTTACATCTGATAGAATGATACTTACTGTTTCTGCGGCCTTCTCGCACCTTGTATGTGAGGTCACTGAACGCCAAGTCGACCGGTGGCCTCTTTGGCAGGTGCGTGATCGTTTTGGGCTGCGCCGGGACGATCTGCAGGCGCACCGTCGAGCTTTTTCTGGGTTGCAATAAAATCCCATTGGTGCCGTCGTCGTCCGTCGAGCAATTTCCCTCGAGTTTCATTTTCTTTCTTTCTTTCACCGTTCGATCACCGTTTTTATTCGAATCCTACCACTGTACTAATTTCGGGCCTCGACTCGTGTCGTTTCGATGACCAACGTGATCGACGAACGCGTATGAGAATGTCTGTCCAATGATATTTTATAACGCCTGCAATGTCATTCGCGCTCGCTTAATGCAATGCACCTAGCTTTTCACGCCAGCTTGTTGTGTTTCCTTTGACATATGTCCGATTTGGCTTAGGGAAGAAAGACAAGGTTTCTTCACGAGGAAATTATTCTCAGCGGTTTGATTTGACGGTGAACATATTAATTATCGATCAAACGAAGACAGATTCACGAAGAAAACAAACTTTGCTGAAACAGTTTATTAATATTGTGACAGCAAAATGATTTGTCACACGGAAAAAATAATTTTGCTATTTGTAACAAAATGTCGTTGCTCCAGCAATAAAATTTAGTTAACGTAACCAAATTAATTTGCTATTCATATATCCAGCAAATAGCAGTTTAATACTCTTAACAAAGCTTTCTGCGGTCCAAATAAATTTTCTTGCTGTCTAAACAATTTTTTTTTTGCTGTCACCATATTGACAAACATTTACTGTTCTAGCAAAATTAATTTTTTTCCCGTGTTGTCTCGATAAGTCTTTTAATCTTTTAATCTCTGAGCGTATCCTTGGCTCGATTGTCTTATTTTTACTCGAGTCGAGCATAGCGGATGAAAACACAAACAGACATGTATATGATAGCGAATGAAAACTGGAATATGGAGATTGTTACATTTATACAATATGCGCAAATATTATTTTGTCGATTATGAGCCATAAAGGCGACTGCAGCGGCGTCAATTTGTCTACCGCAATATAACTGCAGAAGCTGCAAAATACGTTTTAAGTAATGAGAAAACTTTTAATTGTTCGATCGATACAGCGAATTATTAGAAAATCATGTAAAACTGATAACGTTAGAAAACGTTAAGCTTAATTGTATACACACGTCAGCGTATGTTAAAGAACATCGAATATGTGCGGGAAGATTTACATCGCGAAGATCTCCGTACGATTCTTGCATCTCTGCACTCTGAGATATAAAAGTACGCGCAAGAAAGAAAACGTGCATCAAGAACGCAGACCGCAATTCGCGATTAAAGCTTGGTGAAAAATAATTCGTGAGTATGGCTTTTCGTTCCTCAATGTTATCAGCACTTAAGACGCTAATTTCCGATTCGATTGTTCACCCGCGCCCGAGTGAAACACGAAACTTCTACGTAGACTTTTTCATCTCTGTGTCGCGCGACGTTTCCTCTATTAATTATTTATCAGTCAAATAGATATTTTTAATAGTCATTTCGCCCTTTTCTCTCTCTCTTTTCGCACAATGTAACCGTTCGATGTTCTCACATACACGAAGTGCGTTAAAACAATTTTTCCCCCCAAATACCTCTCTACACTGGAAAAAAAGAAGCGGAGACCAGAGGAAAGGATAATTTCGGTCAACTGCTTTTCATATCGTCCGCGTAGCGCGCACGACGTTGCTTTCCTGTGTTTAGGGCTTCCTTTCCGCCGACGAGGAGAACTTATCCGAGCACCGGAGTAGTTAATTTCGCGGTGCAACGAAGCATATCTCGAGCTCTTCGTTCGGGGAGCGCGAGATCTGTGCGTACGAGAGAAGTACGGAGAGAAAACGAGGGATACGCGACGATGTAACAATGCGATGACGTGATCCGCACGGCTGCGCGTGTCGCGGCACACTCCCAAGCGCGGACGTCGCGTCACGGTTTCTAAATGCGCCGGTGTACTTCAGACCTGATAACAAAGCTCGCGATAGAATTAGGTGGGGAAGCGTGAAGAGGAGCTGTCTAACGACAACCTCCTTCCGCAATGCACTCCGTTCGACAGCTCGGGACCAACTGAATTAAAGGCCGCGCGCCTGCACGGCGGCCATCGCCATTGACCGTCGCCGTCCCTTTTTCGTCTCCCCCCTCCCCTCCCCCCTTTATGCACTCGTCACCCTTTCCTTTGCGTCGTCGCGCAATGAAGAGAAACGGTTAATGAGTACAAAGGTACCGATAGATCAAGGTCCTCGTAGTAGCGCACACGTAGATGACTGCCGACGATAACTTTAGCGAGATTCTCCGGAGATGGCGGGGTTTTGGGGGGAGGGAGGGGGGCAGGATTATCTAGCTTGTTCTTGAATACGTGTACGCTTGTACATGCACATGTTTAACATATTTCACATGTCCCAAACAGTCCATTTGTGTAGACATTTTTGTATTGATTTCATACAAAACGAAAATTGAAAAGTAACATAATAGTATTACGTTAAAAATTAACACAACATTAATATCCATATAATATACATGTTGTCACTATTATTTATATGGTTAAAATTATAAAAGTTTATGTAATTATGACCGACCATTATAGAAATTTAATATTGAAAATTACTAAGGAATTTATAGTGATTGAGTACTGACGGTATTTCGGTAATTATTTGGCCAATATTTAATCATTGGTTAATATATTTCAAATTATATACATAAAAAGATTGTAAGTGTTTTTTAATTAATATTAATAATATTAATAATAAAATAAAAATAATAAGAAAAAGGGAGAAACGAAAAAAAATATAGATTCAGAGCAGTATTGAATCTGGATCTTCTAGTTAGCAGTTCGACAATCTGAGTCTTTTGCTACTGGAATACTTGCTTGATGTGTGTTCATTATCTATTATATTTCCACTGTTATCTCAATATTTTATCACTGTAAATTCAGTAATTCTCAGTAGTAAATTTCTGCAAAGATATATTTCATTATTACCATTAAGCATTAATATTTATTCATATTAATGATAAGGTAATATTTAATCACTGCAACCCCCAGTACTGAAATATTTAGGATCACTGCGAGTTCTATAATTTAATCATTACGAATTATTAACAACAGTATTTTAAATATTCAAAATAAATAATTAATCATTAGCTTAGCAATAATAAGTTTCTATAAAAAGAAAATATTCAGTACGCAAAAAATTACTAACATAACGTTATTATAATGATATTTTATAGTATGTAATGTTTCTTCAAATATGTAATTTTTAATGTTACATACAATGTTATTGTTGACAATATTTGATCCAAACATTAACAATAATGTTTCTATATTATGATTTTAATATTTAGAAATATTCCGTATGATCCATATGATCACCGTTAATAAACTTAATAATTCACAAAAGACCAAAAAATACAAAAAGCCACGATTTTTACCATTTTTCTCGTAATGTAGGCCTGAGAGACCTATGATGAAGCGTCAAGATATCGCGAACGTTATTCTGAGGATTAAAATTGTCCTTACGCAAATAATGACTCGCATGACTTACATACATACATTATAACGACAGTATAAGAAATAGAGCAGCTTTCCTCATAGAATATTTTTTAAGACTCGAGCAAGATCCATTTAAACCTGGGGAATCGTAAAAACAATGACCTTATAAATAGACTGAATAACGTGATCACATGACGTGACAGAAACGCAACTCATCGGAATTAACAATTCTCCTTTGCGGCTTCGATAAGACATCATTGACGATTAAAATAATATACTCCGTGTCGGATAAATTTACGAGTAAGCGTATGAATTGCTTCGTACTTGCAAACTCGTACTCGTGATTAACGAAAAAGAAAAAGGTGAAATCATGACCGCGTTATTTTCGAGAGAGTCGCCCGCATGCTCTCTACGGTGTGTTGGTTTGCACGTCATACCCTCATTTGTAATGCGGAAGAGATATATGACGACGGTCATCACGCGCCGTTAAAGGATGGTTTTTGATATTGACGTAAGTACATAATGATTTAATGGAAATCCAAAGACGACAGTGGGTTAGCAATCGCGATCATTATTACCGACGATGATTAGATAGCGTTGATCGATTGAAATACACTAGTTCATGCATCAATTAGTGCTAACTACTATGTGAACGAATGCATACTTGATGCTGAGTATGCAATACGTCTTGTGTCCGTTCGTGATACGGAAAATAATTTGTTATTGAACAGGTATACTGTCAATAATAACAATAATATGCGAATAGACATTGTACCCGAGGCTATAACGTTCCTTATACTTTTCATCAAAAATAAAAATTGAAGTTACAGCAATCATAATTTACAACAATACCCTTGCTTGACGTTAATTGAAATCTATATGTAATTTGCATAAACATGCGATTACCGAGAAATAAGTGATAAAATCTTTGTGATAAAATCGACATGATCCAAGGACGTAATATAGCTTCAAAGGCGTGACTTCATTAAATCCAACATATGTGTTTTGCGCGTTGGTCAAACACAATACACTTTATCCTTGGTTTCAAGAACGAAGCCACGACGTATCCTCGACCGTATCCCGTCACGTTTCGTGGTTTCGCTCGTGCAGAATATAAAGCAAAGAAGCCTTCGGGGAAAAAATTGTGGCACCAATAGTCGTCAAAGAAATGTTAAACATGACATGTCAAAGAAATGTAATCAAAATTAATCATACCGGATAAAAATTGGATAATAAAAAAGAAAATATATGAAAAGCAATTCGGCGAAACGTCTTTAGCGTCGGGTCTCGTAGAGAAATAAAAGCCTGTTGACAAGTGAACACAATTAAACTTTTTACATAAAGCAGGAAGATGCAGGAAAAAATAGAATAACTCGCAAGGGCCAACGAGAAGGGATCGACTTACAATCGATTTCTTCTTCTTCTTGTCAAATCAGGGTCAGTAAGTTCATTGCGTTCGTTAACCCTTTGCCCTCGAAGGCTCCGGAGCGGAGCCATTTAAAATTTGTTTTCAAACTTGAGGGCTCCGCTATGGAGACAATGCAAATAACTTTCAGTTCATAACATAAGGACAAAGACAAATCGTAAAAACTATTGTGTATAGGATA